ACACACGAAGTGCTCGTTGGGTCCAGACTGTCGCTCGTTTCTCAGATCCTGCTTGTACTAAGTGTACTACTATTGAATCAAATATTCAGAGGCCCTCAGGCTCTCGTACACTCTACATCAGAACAGCAATATCGCGTGTGGATTTCTGTAATTACACTTCGTAAACTATTACTACACTTTGTCAGCCTAACAAAAGTTCAGTCGATATCGAATTCATTATGTCATCAGCTGCGTAAGGTTGTAGGGTTCGTGCCAGCAATGGCTATCGTCGCTCGAATATCATGCTCAGCGCCCGACTCCACGATCCCGCGTGGCACTCTTCGCGGTCGCGAGCTGGTGGACTGAGGCCCTCACGACCACCCCAGCCTGCCTCAGACTCGTCATCAGAGGAACGCATTGTGCATGCAAGGCTTCCCCTGGTAGCTCGATTCGATATTAAATGCATATATCCCTCTTCGACATGGTGTTCATGTACCTTGTGCGCCATCTCTGGAAGTGCAGGCAGGGGCTTGTCCAAGGGCGATGTCATCTGAGTTGCACTTTCCTCCTGGTTGGCCCATCGCGGGGTAAGGCTCATTCGAGTAATCTGGAGCGTTGAAATGAGCATCGGTTTCCTGTCGCCCTTGTTGACGCGATACCACTTGGACTTTGCGACGCCATCAGAGCTGTTCTCAGAATTCTTACGCGACCCCTTGGAGTAAGAGCTGAAGACAGAGCGAAGGCTGGGCAGTATCTTGTCGACAATTGGGCGTAGAGGCATGAGGTTACCGCATATGCAGGCTGAGAGAATTTCGATGAGGGACCACTTGATGACGTCGACATTATCCCAGGTTGAGTCGTAGGTGTTGGCGTACTTGAGGACGAACTTGAGGCGCACGATGCTGGTGATGCATGCGCTGGGTAGAATTTAGTAACGGTCTCAGTCGGTGCCTAGTGGGCGGAGAACTTACAACGACCCAACGCTGACGAGAACGATCAATCCAACCTTCTTCCTGAAGCTCATTTGCAGTTGCCAGAGGGGATGAATCGGAAGAAGCAAGATGATGATATCTTCGACGATACTCAATCCAGCACCTGTGAAGCCGATGACGACGTTGACAGGAAGGCACTTCCCATCAATGGTTTTGTTCCAGATGGAAACAATAGGCAGACACTGGAAAGTAACGAGTAGGAAGAACACGAGTCCGTGGACAAACATGAAAGTGATCATGATACGCACGGTCCATTGGAACCAGGCCATGAATTGTGGAAAGAGCCGGGAATACAACGCCAGGATGGCAACTTTGGAGAAGATTTGCACCAGAATATAGAGCGTCTGGCAGGCATAGTACAGCTTCAGCAGCTCGACGCCGTGGGCTACTGGTATGTCCCAATAATGGAGTCCAAACCCCATGAGGGACATTCGAAGGATGATGACTGACACGGCGACGAGGAGAACCGCAGCGATGATGGCGTACGCGTCATCGGACCAGAGATGGCGAGTCTTGAGCCACCGCGAACAGAGGCGCAAGCTGAGGAACGGGATGGATAGCGCAATAGTAACGATAGCGGTGGTCTTCAGTTCGTGTACCCGCGACTCCTTTGGATAGCTTTTGCAGAGGCCTCCGGCGAATACCGTGACTTCTAGGAGGCTGTCAGTGTCTCGAAGGTGAGATGCCGTGTGTAAGAACTTTTACCTATCTGCTCCGCGAAGTCGCAGGAACGTTGCACACAGGCGGATAGATGGGACTGCATTGTGGTGTTGGTACATGCGCAGTCTGCTAAAGCTGTGGCAGTGGTTAATGGACAGCCGCCGTCCTTGAACAGCGTTGTCATGACGCATGGTACCTGGGAGAACATGTCATCAGTACCGATTCGTCTTATCACGTAGCTCACATACAACTTACCGAGCACTGAGGTATCATCCCCAGCATCGATACGACTGAGGTATCGGGTGAGGTCTGGGCCATGGCAGCTTCAACCACCAAGAATACGAAAAGCAAGCGTATATGCGTTTACACCATAATATCCAGGAATTGTTATATAAGCCAGTGAAGTGATCTAAGGTAGAGATGTAAGCGGGGTTCTCAACTGCGGGAACTGGCTGGAGTCGCATCCTGATATGCATTCCCCTCGCACTGTCGACCAGTTCACTATCAATGCACGAACGACTCCTCATCAACGTGCACCACCATGAAGAAACAAACGCCATGCTGCTTTGGAAAGATATTCAAAGATCAGTAAACAAAAGCATCCAATGACGGTATCGCGGAGAGGACTTTCTTGCATCGTGTTACAGACGGCCGAACTTAATTACCTCAAACGCCTGAAGCAGACGATGCCGAGGGACAAAAACGATGTGAGTCCTCATGCGGATTTATGATATTGAACGTTTAGGGGCGGGAACTAAGTACTAGGGTACCGTAATGAACTTCTCCCCAGAGTCATGAACACACGGTTTGGGGTGGCAGCTTTCGGAATGAATTTTCCGAGCACGGCTTGGTGGGAATATTGTTACTGAGGACATGAAACAATAGCACGAAGTGACTCTGGGTTGCCCAGAAACGTTGTTTCTCGTTGTGCATACGGATCGAAGTTGAAGTTGATCAGCATCGTAGGCCTGGTCGGGGTCATGTTTTACATTAATTCTGCAGCTCTAGCAAAGAGCGAAAACATGCAGGCAATTAGCGCATGCTTGTGTGCTTAGAAGTCGCACAGCCTCTGATGGGATGTGTCGAACCAGAAAGGGTAAGTACTCAGATACCATCTGTGGCGCTAGGCTCGAGTGAAGAGACATCTGCCGGTTGCGATGGCGCTTTAGAATCTGCCTGCTACAAAAGGCCAAGTACATGATACTGCGTCCGCGTATTCAGAAACTGTAGATCATGGCTTTCCCGTCGCCATGGTATTTGATGCGTGTCTGAATTGCAATTAAGACGCGTGGCTTCCGAACCTGACCTTCACTAACGCAGTTCCCGCACCAGAACAACAGCAACCCAGGGTAATGACCTCACATCCGTGTAAAGAGGAATGGATATGTGGAGTGACTGATTGTCTCCACGCGAGGGACTTTTGAGTGGAGGAATGGTCCAACTGCCGGTTGGCGCAGTCGAATAGTGCGCCATCTGGAACGTGGCGTTCCACGCGCTGTTTCGCATTAGCGCGATTGCGAACCGCGTCATCTCGGTTATGGCCGAACCTTAGCCATGCTATGACTGAAGCGGCAATTACAAGGTTCTTCGCCAATCTGACCCATCCGGAGTCGAGTCCTCGTATCGACAGAACCTAAACTTTCTTCCACATTCGACACTTCAGCTCTGAAGAGGGTTGCGCCGTCTCGTCGAGTGCTACTCATGACCGGGACACTGCGGCTGGGTTCGCTAAGAGAAGTGCCACTTGATCAAGTTTGTCAGCCTATCCCTTGGTTTAATCAATCCCGTCTCATATATCTCACCTTGAATTTCATACACCAGACGGTCAGAATAAAGAATATACACGCGTCCGATGCTTCGAGGAGTCCGCTAGGTGCTCAGCATGAAGAGAAAGCCTAATCAGAACATCAAACCACAGCTTCAATTCGCAGGTTACAGCATAAGAGAACGAAGACAAACAAGCCAGCAGTCATGTGGGGACTCTTGCGCCTGCATACCTTTCTGGCATGAAGTTTGACACTAAAGCATCCGCCCAGCTTCTAGCAACACTAGACCGCGGGACGTCGGATTGACAACTACACTTGAACTAGCACGATCGTACTATCGGCATTGAATGACATTGCGTGACCGCGCTATGGTCTATATGCCGAGTTCTATCACAGATCACACACGCATGCGAGGGTGTTGTCGAGGGCATACCCAGCGGAACAGTGCCTTACTGTAGATCGACGCACGATACCCCATTGGTCGTGCAGCATGGTTAAGTCTAGTAGGTGGCCAGATTTGCGTCTCATGCATCAATGCTCCTCGTGCGGGCACTGTGACGTAGGTAGCCGTCTGAGAATGGAGAGAGACTAACACAGGCCCGACATCTGGTCACACCAGCAAGTAGTGGGCCGTACGCAGACAACTGCTGCCAGAAGTTAACCATAAGCGATCTCGAACACGCCTACAACTTATCGTCGTCGCTATAGTCGATAACAAGTTGTTCTCGCTATCTTGTGGTCTTCAGTTCGGCTCAAGAGATTCTACGCCGGTTTCTTCGAGTAGATTGCTTGTATTAGTAACAGCTGCAGCTAATTATTATTTAGCCTGTTAGACACATAAACATTATTTGCCTACTGAGATATGTCTCTACCTTTCTAATCATCGTCCCGCAATCTGCAGGACATGTCCGCAAGGCTGAGACGATTTCTTAGGGATTGCATGAAGTGCACCAAGTTTAAAGAAGGCCAGAATTAAGCATAGTAGGCAGAAGTCGATTTGAGGTTGGGCTAGAAATCTACGAAGTCCCACACAGTACCAAAGCGCTTAGCATGTCTTGAACTTTCCGCCGAGAGATTCTCAACCTCCAGACTACTTATTGTCACCGTAGTATTGCTGCCAAACTGCATCGTCCGTTCCGATACCAAATACATCGATATGGCCTCTGCCTCACGAGACCGCGGCGGGAGCGCTCTTGAACTTTCCAGTCATTCCCTTCCAGTCACCTTGCCAATTACCATTGTCGAATGCTTTATGGTACATCTGGTCATCCAGCCCAATCCCGAAAACATCGATCCGGCCTGAACCTCATGAGACAGCGGAGGGGAGGCTTTTGAACTCGCCCGGAAGTTTCTCCCACGCGCACGGAGTCCAATTTTCCCCATAAGTCCTGCGGTACATCGTATGACCTGTGCCACCGATGCCGAAGATGTCGATGCGTCCATTGCCCCAAGAGACAGGGACAGGAGCGCTTACGAGCCCATCTGTTATGCCCTGCCAGTTGCTGATAATCCAGGAGCCTCCTGCCTTCCTGTTCTTTCCCCACGCCTTGTGGTATGGCTGGTTGTCGAGACCAGTGCCAAAAATCTCAAGCCGGCCAAAACCTCAGGAAATGGCCGCGGGGACCTGCTTGAACTTGCCGCCCAATGGCTCCCACGAAGTGGCAGCGGGCTTCCAGCCGCCATCACCCCTGTCGAAGCTCTTGCGGTACATCTGATTGTCTGTGCCGATCCCGATGATATCGATGCGATCTGGGCCCCAAGATTCCACGGAAATTCAAGGGCGCATAGCAACGGACATGTAGCTCATGTTGGATGGATTTTCAAGATCTAAGTAAATAGTTGTTGGATTAGTGTCGAGTGTTATCGGGGCACTACTAACTCGGAAATACTTGAAGCAACGTTGATGGTGTAATAATCTGGTTCTGTAAGAGATTGCCTGTATCGTTCTGAAGTGGCTACAACGAAAGTATTTATATTGCTATAGATATTCTTAGCCCGTTAAACTGCCTTTGCCGGGTTCGTTCCTAGACCTGGTTTATGATCTCATATCTCACAAAAGCGGAATATACGATTTTGTGTTATGCCAATAGAGGATCGTGTTAGCGATGTGCAGAGGCGGTGAAAGCTTATGAGAGGGAAACAGAAACCGAAATGCAGCACATCTGTAACGTCTTAGATGCACGGATTGGGTGGGTGTTTGAGGAAGGTTGGAAGATCGACCTGATATCATCATACCACAAGCTGCTTGAGAATCAAGCTTAGCTCGTGCAACATGAGTTAATGACATAGTACTATAAGGTGCGTTACAAAACTAAGCGGTATATAGTGAAGCCAAGTGTTTGGGAACACGCTTCTACTGCGATACAATTCAGTGTAACTCAACAGCGTTTTGCCTGCGTCTCATCGCCAGCACGTCAATCAAATCAATAGTGCATTACAGCCTTACGCTGCAACTAAGCCATATGTACAGCGGTCCTATTATCTAGCGCTAGAGCCGTAGCTAGTAAGGGTTTAGGAGTTGTAGGATGGCTGTACAGCTTAGAGTTATCGGTAATTCCCATGTAGAGTTCCCAACAACTAAGCGATAGGCAGATTGATTACTAAAGTAGGCCTCGAAAGATCACTGCCTAGTTCGTGACAGTTCTAATCTGACTATCAATCTGCCTATCGTTTGCTTGTTGCAAACCTTGCTCTCCTGTGTACAGTCTTTGCACCGAAGTACGGAATTGAACACAATGAACTGCAAGGGCTTGTTCCTCGATGGGAAGTAACAAAAGTCGTATTCATGCTCAGTGAATTGGTACCCGCCTCGAATACCATCGCCGTCTTGCCAAGCATACTGATCGGCTAGGCAGCTACGTGACTGCTCATAGTGATCCAGATCGCCGTGTCAAATCATTCGGAGTCGGGCCGATGAAGCATAGTTGCGCGCACGCCAAAATCCAGACAAATAGATGAGGATACTACCGTTCTAGCGATTATCACGTCCGGATGATTGGATACATGATAGCTAAGAGTATATCCACTATACTTGCATACACTATGAGACGACACAGATCATTCCACGTCAAAATCAGCACTAGTATCGCTTTTTGTATTTGGATGGTGTTACATTGCAGGTCTCTATATACATATTTCCCGAGGCTTAACCCGATCTCGGTATCGGGTAGGCGGGGGCTATGAGCTATTTATGCTGAACCGGGCAGCTAGGGCCGGCCCGGGCTTGCATGAGCGCTCGAGGCACGCCTGAGAACCGAATCTTGACCTACCATCTCGAAACGTGCAAGGTTGTTTGCACTCTACGGCTGATTTTGAAAAGCGAAAAGCATTCAAGCCCATATCGTCCAGCGACGTAGCACGCGTCCTGTGAAGCTTTCAATGCAAAAGATCTACTTTTACAGTCTTCACATCTGCAAAACGTAGTGATCGGTTCACGTTAATGACGAGTAGGAGCAGCATAGGTCAGCTGGTTATCGATCAGTTATGGTTTCAGCAGTATCATAGGTGAGCGTAGACTTGTGAGAAAGAGAACAGTCACAACATGCATCAAAATAGCGAAATGGCCAGGCAAATGAGCACTAAGAATTATGGGACGTGTCCTGCAGTTCTATGCATGATACATACTTTAGCGCCTCTACGTAAAATGTAATTCTTTAAAAAATTTTGGGACCTTGCACGACCCTACCCAGCCTTACGGACTGGAGACCCACGGACCTCTGTGGACTTTCTAGGCAAGGAAGGTAAATATTAGTAAGCAACAACAGCCTATATCCAAGATCCGTACAAGTATTATGAAAGCTGAAATTGACTGTGCTACAATGTCTGAACAAGGCCAACACACTGCAGTTTCTTTGGTTTAGCCCGTACCGATCATATTCTTGGCGCCGTCTTCATTGTTCCGGCTTTCTTCATTTGGAAAATGGGTGAGCTGGATGCGGATATCGATGATGTCGAAAGATACCAAGATGGCGACAATGACGATGACGAAGATGCCGGCCAGTGACGTGTACGGCAGATGGGTATGGGCCAGACAGTCATCTACGTGGAGCCAGGCGGAACGCTGCACATCGTTCTCTACACGGGGACGGACGTGTCAGAGTAAAAGTGGAGATAGTAGGGTTACTTTTAGAGGGATCGAGGGGTGAAGAGTATCACGACTATAGAGCAAGACGTGTGAAATTTCTGTGTATGTTGATCTTGAGTTTCAAAGACTGTCCATTCTTTTGTCGGTTCTAGAGAGTTCGATAGATAGCGCATAAATATACGATATTCTTATCCGACTCGCTGTCTTCTAAGCCGCTTTGCTGCTTAGCATTTGTGCTTATGCCGACACTCTTGTGTTCATGCGCCGTGACGTCCTACTGCGCTAAGCCACAGCAGACAATCCCGTAGGAAGAATGTGGACGTGTACAGACGTGCCTAGTCCAGTATGATTGACAGTGTTGTTGCCTGTGTACGTGTACCTTCCTTCGCCTATGTAACTTGTTAGCTCTTACTATCTTCAGAAACACACTGTCTTCTACTAGATAGCATACTTGCTGCAGAAAGGTGTACTATACGCTGATAATTGGGCTAACATTAATGCCCTAGTTAAACTTCTGCGTCTGCATGTTACTTAGCGCATTAAGCCTAACTATACTGCACAACTTGTAGCTATTCTATAACCTAGGACTTAAGCAGACCTTTGCGTTAAAAGATAGCTAGCTAGAGAGAAAGGACTTAGAAAGACTTTTATATAACTTTTAGTAATATTATTAAACCTAAATAAAAAGAGCTTACTAGGCTATAGCGCTGTTATATTATAGTTACTTAGTTATATTAGAAAAATAAGCTAAAGTACTTAATAAGAGTATACAAAACTATAGAATATTAAACTAAATTTCTAAATGTGTAAGATAATTATAAAGAGAGTATTAAGTAGAAAGCTAGTATAGCTAAGAAAATACTTAAGTATACTAATTACAAACTTAGC